ACCAAGAGGCAGCATGCATTGCGTGGGCTGACTGAAGTAAGTGGAGGGCAAGTTAGTAGGAGGGAAGAGTGGAGCAGCGGATTCGCCACCTCCTTCTTCAAAGTGCTTTCTCTAGGGGGAACATTCGCCACTTCTTTGGGTAACACATTTACTCCTCAACTATGCGTCGTATTGTGCGATGCTGTTGAGTTTCTGAGCGGACACCGCGGTCTGAGATGCACGTTGGTTGCACTCTGTCAGCCATTGCTCAACTTGGCATCGCTCAAACGATGCTAACCTCAAAGTTGGCTTGCACATGCACTTTGTTGAGGGGGCGTCAACACACCCACACGTACTGCCGCCACTTGCAGCATCACTTTGTCACCTCCACCTCCTTTGACGTCAACCGTTTTGCGTTGAGTCACTCGGGTGATTACTTGGAGCAGTCGTACGTAAGCGCCCTTCTTGACACGCTAGTTACTGCACGGAGGGCAAGATGATAAATGCGCTCAATGCCTTACAAATGCCGCACTCCTCTAACCGAGTGTGTGTGCCCAATTGCAACAACTGTCTTCATGAGTCACAACAATCCAAAGACAAAGTGTCAAATGCGATCAGGTCCTCCTCCTACTCCTCCTCCTCCTCCTCCTCCTCCTTCTTCTTCTTCGTCTAAGCTCGCTATTGTCTAGGGCCTACGCTCTCATCCCACCTCTTCACATCTGAGAAGGCTAAACAACTCACTGACGAATCAAGCTGGTGGAAATGGTGGCGTTGGACAACAGACGTGAGCAAATCGCCTCTTAGTCTATAGAGAGTGAGAGACAGTGTGAATGGACAAAGCAGACTGTCATTAGAACGACTGCTTAAGTTGAATGAATACTAAAATCGTCGGCAGTTAGTTTATCCAAACAGTTTCTTTCGCCATATCTTATAGGATGCAAGATGCGTTTCAGTGCAGTTAGCTTCCAAAAATGCAACTCTTGCCTTAATTTTTGCTCTTGTGCAGTCCTATGACGATTCATGTCTCTGCTACTTCCGATTCACTGATTCCCTTAGCGTCACACGTTCACCTAGTGAAATTGCTAAAAATGGAAGTCTCGTTAGTTTCGTGAACACAGTACATCGTGAGATCGGCAAATGGCAAATAACGAGTTTCACCTCACTTCAAGTCCAATTATAACTCACCCACAGTCGAATAAAACGGCCTTTTGCTGATCCACTTTGAAATTGGCGCCCACTAGTATGGGCTTTAAAACAACGTATTGACCAATGCAGTTGCAGATATAAGGCAATCGATACTGTGCTGTATGCAACATCGCCTACTTGGCCTGAGTGGCGCCATTTGGTAGTGACCGATTCCACATAAGTCCTCAGACAAGTTGTCAGATCGAATAATACTTTCATTTATAAGGTACTGCACGAGAGCACAACCAGCAGGCGGATTAGCCTTGCTCTCTCATTCCCGCTAACCTTTGATTTGCGATAACTGACTGTCACTTTAGACAATGATGATTGGCATAAAGTGGAGGTAAGCATACACCCACACCCACCCACACGCAAAGTCGCCCTTCCCCTTTTCGTCTGCGCAATATGGGCCAGCAAAAGACGCATGACTGATTCTTTGATTTCTGAGTGGGTAGGTAGTTAGAGTGGGTGAAGCGCGCTTCGCCTTTTTTGTTGGGAGATTTGTGCTGATGCGCCGTCTTTGAAGCTGCCAAATGAGGCGTGTCAGTGAGGGAGGGAGGGAGGGATGGGTTGAGGGAAAATCCTTAAAGCATGAAAACAAGCCTACACCAACACACCTATCCGACTGGGTTTTACAATGCACGCCGCTCTTGACCAACAAGACAACACAGAC